ATAAGGCCTAAAATAAATAATTTGTAGTTATCAGTATTGCTGTGTTTTTCTTTTTATAAGAGAACAGACTACAACAAATAAAGGCAAGAGTTTGGGGGGGCAGGGCAGGAAAGCATAAATCTATAATAATAATAATAATAATAATAATAATAATAATAAAAAAACAAAACAACTACTAGCTGCAATTACTACTAATGCTACTACTATTAATAGTAATTTATAATATTATCAATAGAATGATAAGTAACAGTTCTAATTACTGATGTGTACATATTGCTCAAGATATGATATTTTGGAGCTTCCAAACATGTGTGTGCTGTTAATCAAGCAATCACTTATGCACTCCTTTACTTTCTTCTTTCTTTCTTTCCTTCCCAAAATGGGGACTGAGATTCTTAGCTGCCTATATAGCCCCTTGCCATACAGATAGATAATGTAAAGCCAATATTGTTTTGTAGTAAAATAATACTGTAGCATACAAAATACACACAAAACACATATATGACACTTTTATAGTCATTTGCTATAGATTATGTAATGGTAATCATATATAACGAACTGAGAAGCCACAGGGTATCCCTCATTTTATCCATTTCTATATAAAGACACTATATAACTCGGCATCAGATTTAATAAGGAATGATTACACTGTATGCTTCAAAAAGCACACTGCAAACCCTACTGCTGCACGCCATTGGCAGAGTGAGGGGCTTGCTGTGCTTTGCACCATTTATTACATATTATCAGGTAATTTCTCTGATCTGTGCCAATAGCAGTAAGCTGGAAAAATAAAAAAATATAGGAAAATTTCACATTTTATTTGATAGCGACATAAGCCTCTGGAGGCTATAAAGTTTGAGTGTGGGAAATAATAATGGGGTCATGATGACTAAGAGTGAAAGCATTGTGAATGGAGCACATGAAATGACAAGGGGTGAAGAGAGTGAAGGAAAAAATGGAAGAGGGACTGATGGACAAGTGCCTAGGGTAGAATTTCTAACAAAAACACAACATATTTTATTTTATCAATTAAAACTATCTGCATTAGATAAGCTTATTAACAAAACAAAGACTACAGTAAAGAGGAGCTGAAAGATGTGGCCCATCATCAAGAGCCTGATTGGTTGACCAACACAGAGAAGCAAGGATGGTGTGGTAGGTTCAAAATGTAAAGTTCATCACATTAAAACAGTTCGGTTAATTCCATATATGTATCAAACACGTTTTGGGGGCCAGAACATGTCCCCTTCTTCAGGGCTCAAATTATAGATGGAAACAAAGATTGAACTTTAGTGGTATGAATGAAAATAACTATTGTTAATAAAAGTTGTAGTAAGGTCTGTAGCTGACTTTATAGACATCAACTCCATTTTAGAATCTGGCACCACCAATACTCCCATTTATGCACCAGTTGAAGCTTTTGCATCCAATATTTTGGGGTTATAACGTTTTTAGGAGGCTAAGATAAGCAGCAACACAAGAGTATGGATTTAGGGGATAGAGAAGTATCTGGATGTTTTTGAGATGATAGCCTCTATAACAGCACACTGTATCAAGCTGCAACTTCTAAAGGTAGTAAGTAATTTTCTTGTATGAAGGGTAGAGCTGAAACATTTTCTCACTGTACAAAACACTATTGTGACAGCTTCTTGAAGCTACAGTTCTTGGCACAAGTTCATTACAAAGATGCCTTGGAACTGTACAGAGTGCAGAGAAAGACAATGAAATGAATATAAATGGTGGAGGATTTTGGTTATGGGGAAAGACTGAATTTGATTTACTCATATCTAAGAAAAAAAAAAAAAGGCATACAGGGGCTAATGTGATAATAACCTTAATGATTTGGTGGTACTTTGAAGTGTACCTGTATTCAGATAAAAATTGTCAGATGGCTACTAGTGTGCCATAGCAGGCACCATCAGGTAGAAATCAGCCCCCCTTTTAAGTGTTCTAGGATCCCTAAAATCTGCTCTGCTATGGAAATTAGAGAATTCTCTCATAGTATAGAGGCTACCCCTAACACCCCACGCTTTCCCCTTCCTTATGTATCTGGTTCTTGGCCAGGGAGGTTGTTCATTGCAGTGATGGATTAATACAGAGGTACAGGAGGTTGAAGGGGGCAGGGATAGGTTCTCAACAATGGCAGCTTGTTGAAATCTGCAAACCAGATGACCTGGGTTTCATATCTTCGAGGGTGCACCTGCAAGTACTTGCTATGGCTAACAGTGGCACTTCAGCAACTTTTGTTTCACTATACAGTAGTCATGCTTTAACATTGACTGAAAAGAATATAGTGTGCCCCTTCTGGTTAGATTGGATGACGTATGATTTTTTGCAGAGAAAAACATTTATTTTTTTGTTTTTTTGTTTTTTTAATTGCAATACTACACAGTGATATAGTAATATGAAGAAATTAAACATTTTAAGACATATTTTAATTTTCAGAAAGCACAATTTTTGGAGCTGAAGTGAAAAAAAAAACTGTTATGAAAGTAAAATAGGGATTACCATTTCTAACCTACTTGTGTAAATGCTACTTACCAGGCTGTTTTGCTTTCAATGTTTCATAGACTTGGAACAAGCATGCTGTTTAGTTAAGCAAAAGCAAATGTAGAGGTCTTTACCTACATACGTGTTCCAGGTCAGTAGCCCAAAGTATCCAGCCAACACAGAATACAGAGAACAAGAATTAGCATCTTTAGAAGGAGAGGTTAACAATTCCTCTCCTGGCAGGTAAACAAAGAAACATTTTACAGAAATTCACATCCAAATCCAAAGATTCACCCAAATTATCATTTAGAGTCGGGAAGCTTCACAGTATTGTAAAGTAGGGAGGAGTACTTTATTTTATAATTGTGAGCCGTTGAGTAATCAGGGTTGGAAATCATCTCATTCTACCAACCCTTTCTATAAATAAAAATAAAAAATTTTTTTACACACTTAAAAAAAATTGTTTATATGCCTGAGAGACATGGAATATACTGTAGAACTACATAACTCTTTACAATACACTACAAACTCCAAACATTTTCAGATCATGACCTGTCTGCCCAAGAGCAGACCTTTGCACACAGCTCTATGCATGGAAATGATTCAACATGGATATGCACAGTTTGAATTTACTAATACAACTTAGATCTGGAAACTGACAGACCAAGAAAAGATATGCTGTCTTTTTAGTGAATTGCTGCCTATTTAAACTGCCTAATGCTGGGGACAGCATCTCTTAAGGCAAAAATGACTAACCGTTATTCATTTTTCTCTCATTCTGGATCAACTGGAATTGTTAAGACTGAACTGGGAGGACATATTTTTCAATAGTCACTGTAAATACAAATACAACTGCACAAAGAGGACATAGCATGGAAAAATATATTATTATTATTGTTATTATTTAGAATTTATATAGTTCCAACAGTTTACTTAGCGCTTTACAACATAAGGGTAGACAATACAGTTATGACACAATTCAATACAATAGGAATCAGAGGGCCCTGGTCATTAGAGCTTACAATCTAAAAGGGAGGGTCAAGCGATACAAAAGGAAATAACTGTGGGGGATGAGCTGATAGAGAAAATTAAAGTACAGTTGTTAGGTGGAGGCAGGATAGGCCTCTCTGAAGAGAAGGGTTTTCAGGGATGGTCTAAAAGTGGACATAATGCATAAGTCAAAAACAAGCAGAGAAAGAAAATTGGCAAATTTTACAAAAATTTGTGTTTTTTATACTGCAAGGGCACATCTAGTTGAAATATACTGATTAAAGATTTTAGGTGTCAACCTGGCTGATTTGGTGTACACATGGGGTTTGGGGATGTAGCTGTAAAGATAGAATGAGTAAGAGATGGGGCTGGAGCAATAGTAAATATAGAGATCATGGGAACAGGGAGAAGGGGGTGAAAATGTTAGGATACTGAAGACAGGTCAAAACACCCAGTTGGCACACAGGACAAAACGGCATTTTCTCTAAACCTCACTGTCTGTTGGCAGCAAATGTAAGTTCCCTGATCTAAAATAAAACCTTCATCAAGTTACCCATACATGACCTCATGAAGGAAAGTAACAGGCACATCATACGGGCTCCTATGAGGTATCTAGTTCTACCCTCGCCACACACTCCAACCATTATGAAAAAATCCAGTATTTTTGGTATAGGGTACTTTTGTATATTTCATTCTGCCTTCCACAATGTTGTTTTCAGTGCCTGAATGGCCAATCATGAAGCCCAAGAGTTGTTATGAGTGTGGTGTACTTTGTCCTTGCAAATACCAAACCAGAAAATTAGTACTTGCATATGACATTCAGTTGTGGTTTGGGGTGGCAGGTAGGAAGAAGACTATGGTACATGTTGTGCAGCATGCCTATCACATGCCTTCTGTGGTCATAGTATAGACTCCCATATATGTAGGGTGATCATTAGTCAATCTGTTTAGTTCCTTTTGTCGCACAGTTTTATTTAATACACCCCTGGTCTATTATTACCAGGCTGGTGCTGACTTCTTCCTCTCCATTTCCTGACCCTCCTCTCCCCATTGATATAAACTTATAAGGTTTACAGTGCAACATCCAGTGCTCCACACACAGCTGATCCTGAAGACAATCAGATTGTGTCTGCCACGCTCTAAAGTCTATAGGTAGCTTAGAAGTGCATCTGAAAGGAACTGTTTTTCATATCTCATATCTTTAGGTTAATCGGCATTGACATGGTGTGGAACATTAGTTCTTGAGAATGTGGTTAATTCTAAATACATTATTCACTTTGGAAACAATTCTATTAGTTTCCACTTAAGGTGACTTTCCAGACTAAATGAAAAAAAACAAACAAAAAAAAACAGAATGCCCCACTATCTGGACTAAGAGCTGCATCAGATAACTCTGCAGTGCTTCTGGCCGATGAAGGTTCAATTATGACCCTACATCAGGGGTGTATTTACCACAAGGCAAACAAAGCATTTGCCTAGGGTGGCATTTTTCAGGTGGAGCAGCACTGCCCCTTGGAAGAAGGGATGGAAGAAGGGACACTCATGGCCAGGGGCGGACTGACAACTCATGGGGCCCCCGGGCAATAGGGGGCCCCTGTGTCCTCACCCACACTCAAACCACACCCAAAAAAGCCTATGAAAGGTACCAGGGGCATCTCGTGGGGCCCCCTACCAACCCAGGGCCCTCAGGCAGTGCCCGAATTTCCCAATGGTCAGTCCGCCCCTGCTCGTGGCATTGGGACCTGGTGGGTTCTGAGAGATGCTGTGGGTTTCATGACGATGTATGCACAGCCCGACTCTTGTTCCTGGGGATGTCCGGAGCTGTGAAGGTAAGTGTCTTTCTCACTCTCGCCATGGGGGATGGTGGCTGGTGTATGGGGGGTAGTGGTAGTGGAAGGCTCAGGTGGAGGGCAGGGGTGTTCTTGGTCAATGTCAGGCTCTTTCTGCAAGGGGGGAGGGGGTGTGCACCAATTTTTGTGTTGCCTAGGGCAGCACAAAACCTAAATACACCACTGCCCTACATACAGTCATATTGATGCTCTTTGAGCAACATTTTACCTCATTGGCTGGATTTTGTTGTTTCTGCCAAGCATGCTAAGAAAATGAAAATGAGAGTAGTGGTAGGTAGGTCCCACATTAGTGGGAAAATTAACTTTCCTTTAACAAAAGGAAAATCTGGGACCTATTAAAAACCACCAAGGGTCTTAGAAATGTTTAACTTCATCAGTCAGTTTGTACTTCTTTAGTGCTTTTCTCTCTGGGGACTCAAAGCGCTTTATCTGCTGTTGGGTCAGGTTGTGAGGCAACAGTTTTGGGTGCACCGAGTAGAATATCATACTAGGGAAAATGTAGACAGGAGCCAAAAAACTACATGAATGTCTTTTTTTTAGTGCAGATGGAAACCAGAGTAAATCCACCAAGCACAGGAAGAATATACAAACTCCATGCAGATAATATCCTGACCAGGACTCAGAGTAGTCCAGTGTTGCAAGGCAGAAGCTGCTGTGCTACTTCATGCTACTAAGTGATTTAACCCCTTAATGCCGTGGCCTACCGGCCTTTTAAGGGATTTCTGATGTCAGGAGTCGGGGTAAGGTTTGTGATCATGTGATTGCTGTCACAGCTGTCACATGATTGGAAAGCTCCCGATTGCAAGTAGAAATCAGGAGTTTTCCCTTAGGCACCAGTAACTGTGCTGGGAGCGCACAGGGCGTGTGCTCTTGGCACTGGGTTGTTTACATTTTGGGACGCAAATATACGGCCTCTTGGTGTCAAGGCCCACCCGCCAAGAAGCCACCTATTTGGGTACTCTCAGCATGAAGAGTTAATTCATTTGCTGGCGACTAGCTGTTTGTAGCTGATTTAATTGTGTATTCAAGTCAGGTGAATGCTAACACATAACATAAGTTAAATGTCTGAGTAGCTCAAGTAACTCAGCCCTGCTAAACTAGTTGAATGTTTGTTTAGCCACATTTTGTAAATTTTGGATAAGACTAGGAAGTATTAGAGCCCTTATCAGGTATTCAGTTTTTCTGTGTTTCTGTTGGGTAAATATCATCACTCATTTTATAGAGAATTCCTCTTACTTGCTGTTGTGTCTCCAGGATAGGAAGTGAAGGTAAATCACCCAACAAGACAAAGCAAAAACTTGGCAGTTCTAATTATTCCCAATTCTATATAAAAGTATATAAAAGTAGAAAAAAGTTGAAGTAGCGATACCCATTAAGTCTTGAGCTCACCCTAAGTTTTGGGTTGTATCAGAATGCCATGAGTCGGGAGAACATTTTGGATTGGGTATAGCCTTTTTTTTCAAGAGAATAATAAAAAAGAACACAAAATGTCACATATTTTGCTAGGTTGTTTGGTACAGAGTGTTGTGAAGAACAATCATAAAAATAGGTGATACAACACAATCATAATGTTTCCAAAGCGTAACAGTGAGATATTAGCTGCATCCACAGGACTGCGGGGTTATTCCCAAATTGCAGCTTCCTGCTGTGCTATCATCTGGAGTGTTACCTGGGCAGAGCCTTTTTAAATCAGCATGGCACGACAGCTCATCATGCTTCAAGCAGCTTCTTTTTAATATGTACATAAGGTAAGCAATGTATGTGTCCATATCATTGAACAGGTAACATACTGAAGTGTGAAGATTATTCCTGGGGCTGGGGTTTATTGATGTAGAGGCAGCACTTCTGACATAAAGGCTTTTTTTTCCCAAAATATTCAGATTGAAGGCAGATGGGAATAAGATTGGCCAAAGACATTTGTGGACATGCATGCACAATGCCAAGGGCATAACTATAGCCATTACAAACCAGCTGCTATGAGGCCCAACGGTATCTGGGGCCCAGTTCTCTCTGGTAAATTGCAATTTGTTCAGGTACAAATAACGTTTTGAAAATAAATTGGGTTAAAATAAATGTAAGTATAGTCTGAGAACCTTTACAAGAATGCAATGAAAACAACAGGATTCTGTATCCCCAGAGTGATTGTCTTTGAAAATAAAAGTAGAGCACCAGCAGGCCTCTTAATGGTTATGCTGTGAGACCCCTTCAAGACCCGTAAGTGGCTCCAATACATTTGTAGTAGTGTGTGTGATGGCTTCGCTGGCATTTATTTTCAAAACCGTTTATGTAACTTACAGGGAAGAAGTGAAGGGGAATACTATAGGGTGTCATTTGAATGACCATTCTGAGTCTGCTGGGGCTGCTGACATTACATCAGGAAGGCTGCGCCCAGTAGCATTCTCAGGACGTCTGGACACAAGGAAGGTTTTTGTAGGTGAACACCATGTATAAAATATGATAAATGCACATTTACTGTAGGTGTTCTTTTATCATGCAGTGTTAAATGACCGCTGCTCAGTTCTCTGGCATTCTCAGAGGAAAGAATTCTCCTCTGAATGCCTTCTTATGAAGCGGTATAGATCTCTTCTCCGATTGAAGGGAGAAGTGATCTACAAACTCTTTCAACGCTGGAAAACAGCTGCTGTTACTGTAATCTCGCAAGGTTACATGTGTGATCTTGAAGAGCTAGCCTTTGAGTCTGATCGTAAGTCAGATGAGTCTATTATATTTAAAGCTAGTATACCATTTAAGTTAAAGTGTTACTAAACCCACAACAGTAAAATCAGTATGTATATGCAGTAAAGCATGCTTGATATACTCACTGTGGAACCTTAGGGGTTAATCCTCTGCACTGTGTAAAAAGGCTGTTTGATCCTGACTTTTCTGATCCTCCCCTTCTTCCAGTGTCTCCCTCTTATCTCCTGATAACACAAATCAGTGTGGAGACACTCCGCACATCATGCTCAGTTTGGTGTGTATTGCCAGAGAGGTTTTTTGTTTTCTTGGGAGAATGCATGTGATCAGCAAAGGGCCAATCAGCATTGTCCAGACAGAGGTCAGGGGTTCTGCATCCTTCAAGAGCAGAAAGAAAACTCCTTCTGCAAACTTTAACCAGTGGTTTGCTGAGCACTGATAGAAGTCACAAGACTGCTCATGAGAAAAGGTATTTAGCAGTTTATATTTACTAAAATAATAGCTTTTTTCATGTAGTGTGTACTGTGGAGACCAGATATAGTGAATGCAGGGTCCTGAGTTTAGTAACACTTTAAGATCTGACTTCTATCTCTTGAATTCTAGGAGAAAAGCAATGGATCAGTACCTGAGGCTGTATGAACAAGATCTCACAATGCTTTGGGTTTTGTTGTTAATGATACTTTACCCCCCATAAACTGATTGCTCTTAAAACCTTATGTGCAGATCCTATTTTGTGATCAGGAATTCTGATAAGGGTGGGTTGGTAATTGTTTTGGGTGTAGAGGTATATAGATCAGAGGCTATTTGCCAATTATCTGATGTCGATACATATGGTAAGTTGAAAGGAAATTCTACCAATGCATTCAAAAAAGACCTACATTTGCTCATCGGTAGAAGGATGAAGGCAGATATTTTTACTGATGTAGAGGGAGTATATGTTTATACCCGCTGCCCTTTTCGTGCTGGCTTTTCATCTCCCTAAAACCCATAAGGGTCTTAAACCTTTGCGTGGGAGAACAATTGTTGCAGGCATAGGTTTTTAAATGAACGACTTAATCAATAGGTAGATCACCAGCTACACCCTTGATCACCAGTTTGCCTGGGTATCTGAGTGATACTAAACAGTTATTTATTAATCATAAAGGTTTTCCTTGAAGGAAGAATATATGGGTTTCCCCCGGCTACTCCTGTTTCCTCCCACCCTCCAAAGACATGCTGGTAGGTTAGTTGGCTCCTGTCTAAACTGGCCCTACTATGTGTATGAATGTGAGTTAGGGGCTCTAGACTGTAAGCTCCTTGAGGGCTAGGGACTGATGTGAATCTAGAATGTATATGTAAAGTGCTGCGTAAATTGTCTTCATAAAGATTTTGTTTTAAAAGGTTAGGATAATTTGTTGACTCATTGTTTTTGTTTTTGATGGGGTTCACTATCTCTAGAGGTGTGGTGCAGCTATAGGAGCCAGCTCTTTTGCCAGCCTATATATGGGTTGATGGGAGAGGACTTGCATCCTTGGAGATGGAAACTTATTTAGATCTTATATAAAACTTTTTTTTTTCGATATATTGATGATTTGCTGTTTGTTTGTTCCAGAGAGATTGGGAGTATGGAGAACTGGTTGACCTTTTTAAATGACAATTTGTTAAATTTTAGGTTTACTGGTTAGATGGAGGCTGTTTCTATTTCTTTTTTGGACATAACTTTGTCTGGTATAGATTTACAGATTGTCAGAACCAGAGAAGAGTTGTTAGTAGAGAGGAGTAGGGGGAATCATAATGAGACTGCACCTGTGTTTTCCACTTCTTACAGATGGGAGTTCAATAAGGTTAAGTCTAAATACTTAGATAGTTACCAATACTGTATAATGACAGAACATATTCAAAATAATTTTTAAAAGTATCATGACTGAGTGCTACTTTGGGTAGAAGTTTCTATCCCCAAGTTGTTTTTCCAGTGAGAATGGTTGCATTTCAAGGGCAATTTTAAATGTGCATCCTTGTTACCCCATATTATTGGGGGTTACAATGTTAGATCTACCAATAGTGGGAACAAATTTATTTCCTTTGTTATTTGTATTACTAGACATGTGGTGTATGTTAT